TGAAGTGATAAAATTTTAATATATCAAAACTAAATTTTAAAATTAATATTATGATATTAAATTTATATCATCATAAAATATATTTTTTCATAATTTGTAGTCCACTCGATCGAATATATCCGAAACCGAAATATATCCGAACCGGACTAGACCCGAAACCGAAATATATCCGACTCAAATTGTATCCGAATCAAAATCTATCCGAACCGATTTATAACTAAACCGTATCTGAACCGACTCGAAACCGAACCGAACCGAAAACTGTATAGAACCGAAATCAAATCCGAACCGAAATTTAACCGATCCGAACCGAACCGAACCGATTATAACATATAACCGAAAGATATCCGAACCGAAAAAGTTCAATCCGGAACCGATCCGGTTGATCCGATTGCCACCTCTAGTGGTAACTAACGTTCCACTCTTTGTATTATGCTCGATGGCGTAACTCAACTGAGGGTAGTGTCACGTAAAATAAATTTAGATTTAAATCCCGATACTGATAATAAAGAACGATCATTTAACCGACTTTATTTTTAATTTAATTTATTTGATTTTAAGTGTAAAAATAAAAAAAATAAAATTTATATATTTATAAAGTATATCAAAACTTCTACAAATCAAGAGATGACAAGACTATATTATTTTATCAAATACGGAGTAACTAACAAAAATAGATAGAAAAAGTAATTAAAACTTGACCGTGTGAATAGTAATTTGATAGAACATTTTACGATGGAGGGAATACTTTTTTTAGTACATCATCTCTTTCTTCAACATCATCGTCAAAAAATTAACTATATTAATAATATGAATTAATTTTAAAGTAGTTTTTAAATTACTAGCTCTTACTAATGCTCCGTAATATAAATTTAATTGAATCTGTTCTTAAAAATAATAAATTTCTAATTACATAAATAAATAGAAAGTGCAAATATTTAATTATCTTGATAATACTTACCAAAAACAAAACTACAAACTACATAAAAGAAATTTTCATCACAAAATCTTTAAAAAAAAAACTAAAAAGAGCATCGCTACAATCTATTATGACTAATTATAACTATTTATGTTAAATGGACAAATTTGTCCTAAAAGTTAGCTAAAATCTAATATCCCTTCTACTTTGTATATGTTTTCAAAAGTTGTTCATTTAACTATAAATGAGGTGCATTTAGCCATAATAGGAATAGTAGATAGCCACATCCAAATAAAAATACACATGCTTTTTGTGTACTAGATGTTTTTAATAATACCAAAAAAATATTAAAATAGGAGTACTAGATTTTTTTAAATAAAACCATAAAAAAGTAATGGACCATGCTAGACTTACATACACAAAAAATTGTATCCCAAACTTACACTAAAGGTATACACCAACATTTTAATTGTTCACAATGATACAAAGTATTGGTGGGTTAACAAAAATTTATATTAATACAAAGAGTTGGTGCATTAAAAAAATAGCATTACACCAATATAAAATGTTGGTACACACCTCCGTTGTACAAATGTGTTACAAATTTTTGGACTGTACAAGTAGCTTTATCCAAAAGTAATGTTTCAGCATTCAGTACGCTATGCAAACGCAGACCTGCTCTTATTAACTTTTTTTTGTACCAAATGGAGACATATGTTACTTTCTAAGTCTGGACCCGGGTTTGGTTTTGAACCGGTACCCACAGTTCCGACACCCAGACCGTCACGCCGGCTTGGCTAGATATTCTAGGCACGAGTCTGGTTCAAATTTTATAAACGGAGGCTGCATTCTTGATGGACAGGCTCGGGCTTTATGTTCACCTTCAAGCTCATCCAACCCGAATGAATAATAACAATAATTGATACTATATTTATAATAAAATTAGAATTAGAACAATCAATACAGGAAGAAAGGTAATTCCAAAGTTTTAATAACATGAGAGATGAAAGCGAGAAAGGGGATTTTTTTTCTTAACAAAGCATTCAAAAGCTTCTTCTCCAACTTGAGCTCAACAACACCTTCCTAATTTCGAAGAAGGAAATTGAATCCCTTTGGGATTCGGTTTAGTATATTTCCTAGTTTGTTTATTTCTTGTTTTAGTAGGAATACAAATATGGTAGTAATAGAAGTTTACTTATATGCTTTACTCTCTTTCCATATAAAGGGGGTTAGACATTTGTAATCACAAGCCAATTTAATATACAAATTATTTTCTCTCTTATCAATTTCTACATGGTATCAGAGCAAGATTTGAATTCTTGAGACCTCAAACACGCTTCTTCACCTGCCGGTGGGCATACACAATTCAATGCCTACCGGCGGGATATTGTAATTTTTTATTTTCTTTATTTGTTTTCCTTCACTAAAGAATATCATGAACTCCTTCAACGAAGAACATTGCTGTCGAGGAATCCCGCCCAACCATCAATCTTGAAGTTGTCCGAGAAGGGTTGTTCTACAGAGACAGACAACTCTTTCCTTTGCATGCAATAAAAAAAGTCGGCGTTCAGG